CTGGGGGGGGCGAGGGCAAATGGAGGTGCACTCTGAGGTTCCGTGTTGCAGTGTGCGCAGTGAGAGCTGGCCAGGCAGAGAGGGTGCAGGCAGCGTGTGATCCTGGGCCGTGCGCCTGCAGGGTCAGAGTGCGCGGGCAGGAGCGGGTGGGTGTGCGCGCCGGCTGAGTGGTGCCCGCCGGGTTTGAAAGGTGTTCGCAGTGGGAGTGAGTTATGCATGGCTGCTTCTGGGGGTATTCACAGCGCTCGGTAACTCTACTTGGCTGTTCCTGGGGGCGCGCACAGGGCCAAGGTGTGCACGAAGGATCCTGGGGGCGTGCACGACGCTCCAGTACTCTGGAGATGTGAACCCGAACAGGCTGTGAGTTCTGAGCTACTGGTTTCTGCTAATGTGAGTGTGTGCGTGCTGCGCGCAGGCTCAGGGGATGGGTAGGTTTCCCTGAAGGTGCCCGAGGGGGCGAAGCGTGCCCGCCTCGAGGGGCTGGCATGCACCCTGGTGTCTGTGAGGCAGCGCGTGTGACCCAAACCTCCTGTTTCTGACAGTTCGCCCCTCGCGTGGGCGCCCCGGGCCGAGATGCTGCTCGGGGACCTGGTGCTCCGTCCAGGCTGCTGCTGGCCGTCGCTCCTGCTGCACTGCGCGCTCCACCCGCTCTGGGGCTTCGTGCAGGTGAGTTGGGCACGGGCTGCCAGGCCTGGGCTGGGCGTCTGAGGAGTATCACTTTATTCCCATACCTGCTGTAGGTCCCCTGATTATTTTGGGTAGAGTGTAGGAATAGAAAAGATGCTAGAGTCCTGTACGCTCTGACCTTAAAACTTAAAAAAAAAAAATTAAAAATCATTGCTGTCATGTGGGAACCAACTCAGAGCTGCGCCTCCATTAAGTGTCTATGGCTATGCGTTGCCAGAGAGGCGATTTGATGTCTTTCAGCCTGCAGGGCTTGGAGGTGGATTCAAACTTCCAGAGAGGCATCCCTTTGGGTCAGCAGCATAATTCCCTAGGGATGAAGCCACCAGAACCAAAAAGCTAAAAACAAACCAAAGCTTCTGGAGCAAGGCTTCAGCTGTGACCTGGAGAGGCCCGTAGGCCAAACCCTTGGAAATGGACAGAGAGGGTCAGAGAAAGCGCTCCGTGATGATAGCAGTACTATGGATACCGGGGAGAAAAGCTTCACAAACTTTCAAAAAACAAAGACGAAGTTCCACGAATGCACATTCCTTCTTTCTCACGCGAGCCACAGGTGAGCTGTAAAGGAGCCTTCTGCGTGAGGGGACTGAGTTGACTGTAGGTGGTGAAGTTGGGGTGTAGACTGATTATAAGCAGCCACTCGTGAGGGACATCAAGAGAAGCTCTCCACGTGTAAGGACTGCGAGCAGATGGAAGCCCTCACCTCAGTCCCCAGACCCCAAGGCAGAGGCCAGGCAGCCGCTAGTTGGAGTCATTTCTGTTTGGGGTGAGAGAAAAGGCACATAGTTCCAGCACCTCCTGAAATGTCTCCAATTATTGGCACAATGTTGGGGTGAAGAGGAATTTTATGTCATCTCAGAATTTTCCATCCTTGTTCTGCCCCTTGCCGGCTGCAGGGCTTTGGGCAAGTCACTTAACCTCTCTGAGCTTCCCTTTCTTCCTACTCTCTGTGTTGTTCTAAGTAGCAAGGAGATCAGAGGACAGTGAAGGGTCCCGTGAGCTGCCTGCCGCCCTGTGCCTGTTAGCAACGGCAGCGTTGCCCTGCGAGTCCCCCCAGGCACTCTGCTGGGCATTTCTGAGTCACTAGTGAGCTCCAGACTCTGAGGGGCGTTTTTACTGTTTTGCCCACTTTGGGGGACTTGCAGCTTCAAAGTCTCCTGGTGGCATGTTGAGGACTGAGGACTGTTTTGCCCACTTTGGGGGACTTGCAGCTTCAAAGTCTCCTGGTGGCATGTTGAGGACTGAGGACTGTTCAGATGACTGCCCTGTGTAAGGAGTGACAAGTTTTAGAAGCAGAGGACAGTGTGCTAGTCTGTTAGGGTCCATGTATTTGTCTCAAGTGACAGGTCCCTGCTGAGAACCAGCTGCGTCTGACCTGAGTGGCTTGGGTGGCACTCAGTGCCAGGGACTGCGTTGCTGGGACAGGCATGCCAGTCAAGATCGCTCTTTCCTCTGGCTTGCCTCTGACTCCCTCACAGTTGTTTTCCTTTCGGAATTGGCAGCTTTGTTTAATGTGTGAAACAGTTGTTATGAAACTCAGCTGTAACTCCTCAGGAGTCAGAGTTTTGTCACTCCTAAGCACTTGGGCGGTTTGGAACCCGATCCCCTGTCATTCAGCTTTTGAGCTGAACCTCCGATGTGAAGTTCCAGTGTTTGGGGTCTACATTTATTTACGTGGCCTCTCTCCTTCAAGAGTTTCTAGCTGGTAGAGAGAGCAACCTGAAGATGCTGTGCATCTCCAAGGGCAGAATTCTGCTTCAGGAACTGTTGTTGATTTCCGTTACTGCCGCACATGAGTCCATGCCAGCCTCTGTCCATCTCATTGAGAACTTCCTCTACATTACCAAGTGTGGTGTCCTTCCCCTGGAACGGAACCCTTTTCATAACATGTCCAGAATCAGGGAGATGAAGTGGCAAGGGTTGGAACTGATGCCCGCTCCCCCCTATCACCACCACCAAGGAAATAATTATGCAAAAGCAGCTGAGTATTTAAACCAATATCCTTCAGCCAGGCAATCCTTATACAAATGCGCACGCCATGTGAGCGTGTATACATTTCAGATGCTGTTACTCAATTCAAATCCATTTTCATGAAAGTCGATTAGAAAGGGGATTCTTTAAACAAGTAGAAATTACTAACATCTAGGCTTTGGGAAGATTCATTTACAAAGAATAGGGAAAGGGGGCTTTGGGATGAATAGACCTGATCTTTCAGCAAAAAGAGCTGGAAGCGAGAGAATGCAGGGAACAAGAAAAAGGGAAGTGCAACCAGCCATGTGTTTCCCTTTAAGCAGAGGGAATAACCTTGATCTCATCATAGAAGGTTCTCACATATAAAGAAAAACCTCAGAACTAGTCAAGCTTCTTTTCCTAGAAGAGTCCCCATAAGTGGTGAACAACAGGAAGGGGGAGTCTGTGTTACAAAGTCAGTAATTGATGAGACAAGAGCCCTCTGGTGCCCCAAAGCCTCAGGTTCTAGTGTTGACATCATCCTGTAGCCTATGGCTGCTGTCCGGCTGATTGGAAGTCGGATGTTATTTAAATTGCCAGACGAGTCGATTGGGGACGTGATTTGGCCTTTTCTCCTTTTATTCCCCCCTCTCCTCTTTCACGTGTCTAGAATTGCGCTTCTGTGATCCAGGGTTCTTCCAAGTTCATTTCCAGATGATTCCTTCTTAGCAAGTGGAGAGGAAGGCAGGCTGGGAGATTTATTAGGCGTGACAGCAGAGTGTCTCATCAAGTTACTGTGGTGCTGGCCTGTCTGTGTAAAAGATGCCAGAAGCCGTCGCCTTTGTGGGTTGCCCTCGTAAAGCCCTCATCAAGGGGACAGGCTCTGGCGGGCGAGGGGCGCTGTGTGCTGGGCAGTTGATACCCCAGACCCAGCCTAATTGCACCTAGATCTGCTGTTGTTGTTGTGAATCATCAAGGCAGAAACCGACGCACAGCTGACCCTCCAGCAGGTTTTCAGAGGCAGTTAATCACATGGGAAGAGATTGCCCATCCTTCTCCTGTGGATTTGAACCATGAACCTTTGGATTGGCAGTGCAACTCCTTACCACTAAGCCATCACTTCAGAGTCATTATTCACAGGATTCAGAGGGCAAGGCGCCTGCTGTGTGCCAATACTTGTGTGAAACGTGCAATCCCCGATCTCTTAGAATTGGTAGTTTGCCGGTGGAGAGATGATTAAACAAGTGATTATAGGCCAGTGAGTCCACTGGGAATAAATAGCTGAGACAGGACCAGCCTGTGGTGCCAGAGACACGTTGCAGATGTGAGCTGAGACGTGAGGGATGAGGAGGCAGGCTGTGAAGCGGGGTGCTGTGGAATCCTGGTCAGGGAGCAGCCCCGAGTCTGAGGAGGGCAGAGGCGCTGGAGGGACCGAGGGCTGCCATGGTGTCCACGGAGGAGAGGAAGACCTTCACCAAGATGGACTGACGCGGTGACCAACAGCCGACTAAAGCTCGGCAGAGACTGTGAGGACGGACAGCGCGGAGCGGGTTGTGCTTCATCCTGTTGTATCAATCGTGGGTTTTGCCAGGTGTCAGAGCCAACTCCAGGGCCCCTGATCACACAGAAGTGGGTGGGCCTGGGGGCAGGTCACTGTCGTGAGCCACTTACGTCGTGCCTTGCAGTTTGGACTCGATCCTGTGAGGTACAGGGACTGATGAAGTTTTTAGGCAAGAGACGGCATGATTGGCCTCAGAGTGACATGTTAGAAAATATCTGTATGAAGGATGGATTTAAGAGGAGGCAAGGCAAAGGGCAGACAGTATAGTCGCCACATTAAGCAAATAATATAGGCTGTTCAGTCAAATTTGAATATTAGAGAAATGTGGGTTTAGGGTAAGGATGTGTCCCACTCAACATTTAGGACATAATTGTATTTTTAAAACATCCATAGTTATCTGACATTCAGATTTAAGGGGTGTCCTGTATTTTATCTGAAAATCCCTGGGGAGAGAGATGTGTTTCCCAGAGAGAGCTCTGGTGGTGCCCTGGTTTAGGGGGTGGCAGGGTGGGAGGGGTAGATGGACTCAAAGACTACGTAGGGGACACTGTCTCTGGGACTAGGTGAGCCAGCAACCACAAAGCTGCAGTGATTGGCTAAGAGTGAGGCAGAGAGTGAGAAGGGGTCCTGATGCTGGAGACTGACAGCCATGTCACACCCTGCCAGCTGAGTGCCTGGACCTTACAAGGCCAGAAAGTTTCGGGGACACACTAGACATGTTGGAGCACCCTTTGGTCTCTCCTCAGTCACCCTCATAGCCAGGGTGACAGAGCTAGAGGAGGAGGAGGGGTGAGCTCTGTTTTCTTCTGCAGGTCCTGTGTCTGGGTGACGGTGAGAGCTCCCTGAGATTACAGCAATGAGAGGATCCCACAGAGCAGAGGGGGGCGGGCAGGCACAACTGGGCTGAGAGGTGGCCGCTGAAAGTAAAGGTAGCGCTTTTGTGTAGATTGAAGGCAAGACTCTTAGGCCTTCTCCCTCTTAGGCAAGTTGAGCTTGTGACAGATGATTCCAGGAACCACTTGTCTTCACTTGTCCTATGCCTCAGCCAGGAACTGAGACCAGGTCCCAGCAATGAAGGAATTCTCTCTGGTGGTCCAGCTCCCACACACATTATCGGCCAACAGAGCCCTACAGTGGAGCCAGATTTGGGGGACAGGAGAGGCCTCCTGATTTTGCACTGCTGGGCAGACCTATTTGCTGAGCACCTAGTGAGCACCACTGTGTACCTTACTTAGTAACCCCGGCATGTTTTCCCAGCACGGAAGTGCAGACAGTTAATACCTGCTGTTTCTAATCAGAGGATGATAGGAGAGTGCGTGTGATTAATAGTTGTTTTGTACTGTTGAGTCAGAACCAATTCACAGCTGACCCTCCAGTGGTGTTTCAGAGGCTGTAAATTGCAGTGACGTGGGAATGGGGCCAGGTGTGTCGGTGAGATTGGCTCAGGATAGGGCAGGATTCAGAGCTGTGT